CGAGCGAAAAGACCACATAACTATCCACGCGGACTAACACCAGGAGGTCTTCGCTGGAACATCAACATTCCACCACCTTTAACCCTACCTAGGACGGGGGGGGGGGGCGTAAAAGTGCCCGCGCCAACTTTGATGTCACCTAGCGTCTGAACGGCTAGTGCTAGAATGGCCAAACTTGGTGACTTTTTCTAAAATATTGTTGGCAATAATTCCTTATCATTGGAATAAGATAATAAATTTTTGTGTTGCCATGACAACGGGTTTCTGACAGGCATTTTTTGTTAAATTTAGTAATTTTTGTTTCAACAATAGAATTTTAGGGGTTTTAAGTCAAGTTACTCATGGTTTCTAATATTAATAACATCCCAAATAATTTCATGTTTATTTTATCATTAAACATGCATAATTTATGCTAATTTGACGACGTCATTGGCCAAAATACAAGCTGGCGGACCATATCATTAGAGCAGGTATATACAGGTTTTTTTCCTGAAAATTTCATCAATAATTCCATTTGTTTTTCCAAAAAAGGTTTATATGAAGGTCTAGTATGTTTACAATGTATTCTAATCTTTATCATGAAAAAAAAAATATTTTTGAAAATTCAAGATTAATGATCAAAGATGGTGGATATCTTAGATATGCATGACGTCATTTTATGACGTCACCGGTGTTGCTATGGGCAACATAAGACTTAGTGCACCCTAATATTCTGTCATAAACACTTTTTGTAAAGTTACGTTGTATACCATTTAGTTTTCAGGGAATAATCTATCTAGACGGTTTTGGCCAATAAAACCACATTAATGACGTCATAATGACGTCATAATACGTCATAACGACAACAAAATTGTAGATATGATAAAATTTTACTAGTACACCATTCTCTGAAAATTTGTTGGTCATACGACAAACCGTTCTCGAGTTCTGAGGGGGGGGGGGCAACTAACAGACTTTTTAGAAAATACAAATATATGTGCACACTCGACTCAGATATTACGATATCAGGAATATCGCGGCCAAAGGATACGAAACAAAGGCACGTTTCTGGCGATTTACTGCGCTCTTACATAGACTCTGGTCAGATTTAAATTCCGACCCGGAACCATAACAAATTGTTTACCCTCGCCCACCCCCTCGCCTACCCAAACCATGGTGTCAAGGAAATTACCATGCCCAAACACAAAGTTGACGAGACTTGACCCTTGACCTCACAGCATACCGATGACAAAAACATTTTCAAAAATTCGGTCTATTCCAAAGCCTTGGGAATTACTTTCCATTGCATGTCTTGGAATAATGTTTTGAATACATGTAGTATGTACATATTGTTGGGTCGTGTGGATTGTCGGGTTGAGTGGCGTAGCGGTAGCGTATTCGGCTCAGGACCAAGCGGTCGCGGGTTTGAATCCCACCCATGTCAGCGACCTTTCATCTCACTTCACCCAAGTCGAACTGAGTTCCTAGCTTTAGTTAGGGACGTCCCTCGAATAGGACGTTAAATGGAGGCCCCGTGTTTGGGAGAGCCACACCCCACGCACGTTAAAGAACCCACCGCACTTATCGAGAAGGGGTCCCTCCCGGTGTGACTGGTTCAAACCTTTCTACAGGCCTTACGCAGCTTGTGCATACATGTACAAATGCTCTTCCATGGAATTCCATGGCGTATTTCCACGATATATTTAGGGAAAAATCAAGTACTGTCAGCACGTACCTGTTGAGTCGAAATGGTGGCCTCCATTTTGGGAGTTGTTAACGTTGACTGAAAAATTTTTCATTCGTAAAATTGCTGGTTTCCACGGTACTCCAGGTCTATCACCGACGTGAAGATAAACAACAGTGTAAACAACAATACATGCAGCTATTGTCACCAGAGTGGCGCACCTTGCAGTAGATTCCCATTTTACGCTAGAGAGAAGCAGCATTGTCTTTCTTGTAGTATGTAAACTGAACAATAACAAGACGTCTTCAAGTGTGTCGACAACTTAACCTGTTACAAGAGTACTGACTTCATTCGCACGGACGTCTCCTACTTGTTTGAAGCCGGAACTGTTGTAAGCCGGATTTGACCCGGTCCACGTCATCGCAACCACAGATAGGGACATTCACGACATTTTCCATTCCCAGAATGCATTGCGAAAACAGGTTTCTAAACCTCATTTGCATAGGACAGGAAGGCATCGGAATGATCCTGTTGATGTTAAACAGCTTGTTTTTCAGTGTGTTTTATGGTGTTGGGTCATCTTATGCTCAACGTTAAGGTGTTGGGGGTATTTTATGCTCAACGTTAAATAAATTACTATGGGTTGAAGTTGACAACAAATAGAAAATGATTTTTTTTGGAATATGTAGTTTGTAACGTTATAGTGGTAATAGTGGTAACGCTATACTGATGCTGTAACATTACAAACCACATGTTCCATGTTAAAAAGAACACAGAAACTTCATTCTCATTTTATTGTCAGATTCGACCCATAGTAATTTGCTCCAACACCTCAAAACACTGAAAAACTAGAAAGGCCGACATTTGCTCAGGAGCAAGCGTAGCATGGCTTCACCACATTCCCCATACCAAAAATCCCCCTCCCACTCAAATGGATTGTTCTTAAGTCACCCCTGTTCAAAATGTGAAATGTTCCAACAGTCTAAACCCCTATGCAGCAATGGAATATTCCAATGCCCTTTGCTGTTGGAACATGTAGATTGACAGGATCCATGCCACCCTATATCTGCTTGGAGGCCAAGCCACTTTGTATCTGCTCGAAAATACCCATGCCACCATGTATCTGCTTGGAGATTACAGAGGTCATCAGGTCGTTTGGTTCCTAAAGTTGAATACGTTCAATGAAGTGGTAGGCGTAGAGTAAGAAACACAAAGAAAAGATTGTTTTTCATCTATATGAATATGATATGAAGTGATATACATGTATAAACAACAGCAGAGTGCGCGACTCGGAATCAAGAAGTCCCGGATTCGAGTCCTGACATGCCACCGATCTTGTGCCCTTGGGAAAGGCACTTAACACGAATTTCCCCATTAGACTCAAGTGATAATGAGTATATTCTGTCCAGTATTCGTTTCCATGTGCCTCTGTTCCACGTGTACTGTATTGTTGCAATTTCAATAAGATAAAAATATTTAAAAAAACAACTAAAAACAAAAAGTTGGGTACCGTTGGATACTACATGTAGCAGCTAACATCTTATACATAATTGGTA